TCCCTGTTTTTACAGTTTTTCTCAGGATTACTCCATCAGCAAAAATTATACTTGCTTGCTAGCTGACGGGCCCACGGGCCCTTCTTTTCAGTCTTCTTTCCCTTTTGTGATTTTTGTCTATTATTTAACTTCTTTATTTTATTTTCTGCTCATGTTAAAAAAGTCATGGGAATATTTTTTTTGTTTTTGTTAAGATGTGTACTTTAACGTTCAGGGTGTGCAGCATAAGCTTGTTTCTGAAAAATTGTTAGAGTTGCACTTTGTACCAAACACATCATAGCTTCGCTGTGCGGTAACTAGTGTGATCCAAAAGCATGCCACATTCACACCCCCACACTCCTCCTCCATCATCACAGCATCAATAAAAGCCAGACATTCCATTGACCTCCCCAAAAAATATTACAATGACAGGCAGGATTCATTTTGTTTTACTTTTGAATATGATGCAGAGCTACAATAAAAATGCACAAACTATGTAACTGTTGTGTCACTGGATTATTGTTACCAGGTTATTACTGCTAGTTCTGCTGATAAAATAAGGATCAGTACCACTTGAGGGAAAAGCTAAAACTTAATTTTTTTTAAATAAATCAGATTTAAGTGCTGCTGTGTGTAAGCCAAGCTAGTTGTATCCATTGTTTGAGTATGATGTAACTGCGGCTGCATGTGAAAATCGTGCAGTTCTATAATATCAAATAAAGATTTATGTCTTCCATCTTTTAACGGATTTGTGTGTTTCCATTGTTACCCTCAAAGTTGCATTGGTACTTGACCCCCATGACAATGCCTGGCTAACCATGCCTTTTGTTTAACAATAGCCCTGCAAATAGCCAGAACGGAATAACAAGATTCATTCTATAGACGTCAATGGGAATCACTGCAAATTTATGGGTTCCAAATTTTGAACATAGTTTGTAAAACCGTTTGTGAATTGAACCCAGGTCTGTTCTATCATCACTAATACTTACAGATCAGGGTTCATAATGCAGCAGATCTATTGTAAATAAGTGGTTTTGTCTCAGCATTTGTTCGTTAAAGGTGCCCATTGTAGTTTCCTGACATACAAGGGCACTACATGGAGCATCTACACATATATTAATGAAAAACACTCTGACATTGTAACATCATAGAATGTGAATAAATGGTGTGGGATATAAGCATATGCAGTACTATTCCTCTTTTGCTTATGGGGAGCCTGCCTCCCCTTTTTGCAAGGGAGCCAAATTGTTATATTAACTACTATATAACTATCTACTATGTAACTATGACAGCGGTCTTTATTTTACACTAATTTTCTACTTTGCTTTCTTATGTATTTTTGTTATACTATTTATTAAGGATCTTTTGAGGTCCTTGTGAGTAAACACATGTATGTTTTAGAGTCGTTGGTTATTATTCTGCCTTAGCAAGTGAAATAATAGGTTTACCTCCTCACCAAATCAAAATCGACAACAAGATGGTACTGAAGGAAAAACATATTTGTTAATAGATAGCTTAAATTGTTTTCCTTTTATTAAAACTACCAGCATTCATCTACCCAAAAAGGAAAGAAACAAGTGTATTTTGGAAGTTTAGTCTCCATTTTAGGACTGAGGAAAAAAGAACCCGCTGCCATGTTAACAGGCATTGCTGCCTGTTATTAAATGTAGGCAGTTTGCAGCTTGTGCGCGCCGTGAGCTAGTGGATGGTCCTGGTGGGACGTTTAAATATGCCCGCTTTCATCCAGGAAGCTCCCAGCCGGCCGTTGTAAAAATACGGCCAGCCGGGAGGCGGCTAATAAAACTCCCAGCATTCATCTGCCGAAAGAGAAGGAAAAAAGTCAATTTTGGGAGTTCAGTCTCCATTTTAGGACTGAGAAAAAAGGAGTCCACCGCGATCCACAGCACGTGTCTGGAGGAAAAAGACCAAATCTCTCTTAGGCAGCTTCATTGGTATGAATGGGCTGGTTTCTTTATTTGTGAGCTGACACTAAATTTACATGTTTTATATAATGACTGTATCTTTCTATGTTCTTTATTACCAGTTTCGCCCCACATTGTTTTGTTAATAAAGCATCAAGATTTCACTCAGTCTGTCTTATTGCAGAATTGGAGGGTTCAGCTGAATGTTGAGCTATAGACAGACCACATGTAGAGGGGACAGAACAGTTATTGGAACCTTGCAGTGAGCACCTGGAACCTTTTTTTTACTTTGTAAGTAAACATATCAGGATCTGGCAAGGTCTGGGAGTGTTGTCATTGTATAGGAAAGCTGTATACTCCGTTGCAGCATTAGTCTTAAAATAAATGTATACAAGGAGAAATCTTTTTTTTTTAAATTCCTATAAAGAAAAAAATCCTTTAAAATTAAGTAAACTTATCAATTAAAATCAGAACATGCTTTCATCAACTTTATTATTTAAAATTATTTTAGAATACACCAAGCAAAATGTATAAATGACTGTAGCCAGATACATCTACCTACAATATATTTAAAATTACCTGGTTGTTAAAAAATATATATTACAAACAGCCTATAAAAAACATGTTTAATATTCACCTTTCTGGAAGCTGGTGAGTGAAACCTTTACTCTCTTGAAGACCTATGGGTGGCATCTGTATCTGACACTATACAATGTTTTAGATACTTTCTCTCCTTCTGTTAACTTTGGTTCCTCCTCACTAAAGCTGGTCATACACCCGTAGCTTATCTGCAGATTTTCTATGGTCTGATGGGAAAAGTGCAAAATATGTATCCATGTACACTCAACTGTGTGGTTGGAGGAATCTCCCACTGGGCCAAGCTTCAGTATCTTGCTAATCGGCCCGCGGGCTCTAAAAATGCCTGAACATTCTGATTGGATGCAGGCATTGTTCAGGTATTTTGAAAGCCAATGGGGTCAACTAGCAAGATACTGAAGCTTGGCCCAGTGGGAGATTTCTCCATCTACACAGTTGAGTGTAGATGGAGGAATCTGTTGCACTTTCCCATCACCATAGACAATCTGCAGATAATCTATAGGTGTATGGCCAGCTTAAGTGGCTATTTTCTCTAGTACTTATGTAGCGACCTGCAATATGAACCACCAAAACTAGCACAGGACAAGGTGTCCAACCAGCGGTGGCAAAGTATTGGATACCAGCAGTGTCCATAGCTCTACATGAGAGTAAAAATGAGATCTACCGTCCACTGAAAAGATGAGAATTAAATATTGATCTTTAACTTTCACACTGTTCTGAGTATTCGCTCATTAGTTATTATAGAGTAGACATGTGCACTGCCAAAAAATTTGTTTAGTTTCGTTTCGTTTTAAATTCGGATTTGTGTTATTTCGTTTTTCGGGATTCGTGTGTGAAAGTCAATTCGGATTTGGAATTCGGATTCGGACGAAATTCGGTAGCGTTAGTTCGAACGTTCGTTTCGTTTTCTGTTCTTATTCGTTTCTTATTCGTTTCGTATTCGTTTCGTTCGTTTGCAGCAAAGTGACATTTGAAGGGGGAAAAATATTTTTCTCCTCTAATGTCACTTTGCTCCAACGAACGAAACGAATAAGAAACGAATAAGAAACGAATAAGAAACGAATAAGAACAGAAAACGAAACGAACGTTCGAACTAACGCTACCGAATTTCGGAAATGGAAATTCGGATTTGTTTGCATGTCATTCGTTATGTCTGTAATTCGGAATTCGGATACATCCGAATGTCCGAATTTCCAAAAATTTGTCCGAATTTCTATTCGGAACGAAACGAATCGCACATGTCTATTATAGAGTGTATTTTCCTTTTTAACAAAGAGGTCATCATAAATCATAAAAAAAGATTATCTTCTATTCGCAAGCAAACCTGCTTTTGTATTCAGGTCAGGTCTGAACAGAATGATGTAACATTTTGGGAAAAATATACAGACAAGCAGTCCAGCACTTGAAGCCATTATAGCGAAAATCTCCACAGCCACCATGTATTTCCCTCTGGTGCTCAGATAGGCCGGGATCATGGCAATCCAGACACTGCAGAACACCAGCATGCTGAAGGTGATGTACTTGGCCTCATTAAAACTGTCTGGTAATGTCCTGGCTAAAAAAGCTATAATGAAGCTTACAGCTGCCAGAAGCCCCATATAACCCAGGACAGAGTAGAAGCCAATAACTGAACCCTCATTACACTGAATGATGATCTTTCCCTGATAAGAGTGAGTGTCTCTATCCTGGAAGGGAGGATAAATAGCCAACCAAGTGACACAGATTATAACTTGCACCATTGACAACACAGACATGATGGAATTCGGCAATGTGATTCCCATCCATTTCCTCCAGGAACTCCCAGGGTTGGTGGCTTTAAAAGCAATAAACACCATGATACTTTTGGCAAGTAGAGAAGAGACGGCAACTGAGAAGATGACACCAAAAGCGGTTACACGCAGCATGCAGGTTACATCTACTGGATGGCCGAGGAACAAGAAGACACAGAGGAAGCTCAGCATGATGGAGACCAGGAGAAGATAGCTCAGGTTCCGGTTATTAGCTTCAACAACGGGTGTGTCCTGGTAAAGTATAAACATCCCCAATATTACACCAGTCAGAAGGCAACAGAGGCTGGAAACAGCTGAAAATACTGCAACAATTGTATCATCAGTGTAGGAGAGAAACTCCACCAATTTTGGAACACACCGATCCTTCTTCTCATTTGGCCATTCTTCATCAGAACATTTCATGCAGTTTTCACTGTCTGCAGGAAGAAAAATACCAACACAATGAGCATCTGTGTCAAATTTCCCTGTATGCACTCCCATATGTGGGGACTGCCCATGGCATGTGGTAAATGGGAACAAAGTGGTTGGTGCAATAAAGACTTTTGTTATTTGCTACCTTTTGGTCTGTTAAATTGATAAGAAATAGACGATGTGCGATTCGTTTCGTTCCGAATCGAAATTCGGACGCATTTCCGGAAATTCGGACATTCGGATGTATCCGAATCCCGAATTACAGACATAACGAATGCAAACGAAGCCGAATTTCCATTTCCGAAATTCGGTAGCGTTAGTACGAACGTTCGTTTCGTTTTCTGTTCTTATTCGTTTCTTATTCGTTTCTTATTCGTTTCTTATTCGTTTCGTTCGTTGGAGCAAAGTGACATTAGAGAAGGAGAAAAATATTGTTTCCCCCTCAAATGTCACTTTTGCTGCAAATGAACAAACGAAACGAATAAGAACAGAAAACGAAACGAACGTTCGTACTAACGCTACCGAATTTCGTCCGAATTCCGAATCCGAATTGACTTTCACACCCGAATCCTGAAAAACGAAATAACACAAATCCGAATTTAAAGCGAAACGAAACTAAACAAATTTTTTGGCAGTGCACATGTCTAATAAGGAACAAGCTGTGCTCATGGTGCTTTATTTAGAAAAGAAGGGTTACAAAAAAAATAAAGATGAAATAAAATACAGTCAAGATTAGGAAAAGAGATTATCATGGCCCATGGACGTCTGACTTTTTAGACCAATGTCACACAAGTCCCTCCAAACATTTTTATGTCACCTGAACTCCCTCGCTGTACAATATTAGGAGACCAAATGTCTGCACAGCAAAAACCTTCCAAGGATATTCTGTTTTCACATTCTAGGGACATTGTTCTAATAACATTTTGAAGTGAAAGTTGTTTAGCAAGATAACCTGTATCTTCCAATGTTACTTATAGCATTACATTGTCATTTAACCATAAATAAAACATATAGGGGGATTTTATCAAAACAGGAGCAGACAAAATCTGGAGCAGTTGTCCATGGCAACCGATCAGCTTCTCTCTTTAATTTTCAAAGCTTAACTGATCAAACTAAAGAGAGAAGCTGATTGGTTGCCCCGGTCAACTGTCCCAGATTCTGTCTGCTCCAGTTTTGATAAATTCCTCCCTCAGTAATTGTTTTACTTTATATGCCGTAGAAAGCATTGTATAATAATATCAGAGTGGCCCCTCTCACACATCCTGTGTTATCTCAAAAAGCCCCCCTCCTGGTTCTTCTGTTCGAATTACGGAATAAATTGTATCTTTGATGTGGAGAATAGGATAGGGAGTAGGTTTGATAAGCAATAGAGATCTGGGCAGGACTGACATGGGATCTGGGAGCATTTCTGGCAGATCAGCAGGTATTTGTCTATACTTTCAGGATCATTAACCACTTTAATGATCCTGAAAGTATAGTTTTTCACCAGCTCTCTCGATCTGCTCAGCCACGCCCCCTCACACGTGCCACGCGTTGCACGGAAGCTGGAAAGACCTACAATTTAAAAACAGGCATGCTATAGAGCCGGCGGATCGCTTGTATGAGGTCCCGGTATGTGCGCCCCGCCCCTCCGCCCCCCCCTCCTCCCGCTGTCACACTGGTCCAGTGCTCTGCTGTGCCCAGTGCGAGCCCGGGACCAGCATAGTGCCTCTCAAAAAGGGGATCAGATGGAGTTTGGTACACGAACTCCCTCCGGTCCCCTCTCCGCTTTCAGAATGCGGAAGTGATGTATATGATGTATACATTCTTGTGTCACTCCCCAGCTTCAGATGCTGGAGAGAAGCTGAAGAAGCAGATCTCTGCTTCATCACCTTCTTCAGGGGGGTTCCTAGGTGACATCAGGGGACCCCTGATGTCTCCATAAAGAGGACCTGTCACATCTTTTGTAGTCACAGAGGGGGGTTTCTTAGCCCCCTATGTGATAACAATAAAGTTAAGTGGAAAAAAAATAGGGGAACAAATTAAAGTTTCCCCTCCAAAAAATGTTTTTTTACACATAAAAAAACTTTTTTTTTCAAGTCCCCCCCATTCATACACGCATGCAAACATGCGTCGGGTGAGCAGACTTGCAAAAAAGACGATTGTGCCCATTACGCCGCACATGTTTCATATCGCCGTGAACATCGGAGTGGGAGCAATAATTCTAGGGCCTTCAATCACTGATAACACTAAACTGATGAGCGGTAAAAGCTTTTAAAGTGTCGTCTATGGTCAATTCTACCCGACGTGACCCCGTCTTTTATATTTTACCAAAAATATGGGTAATAAATCATTGTTTCCTAACATAATGTAAAAAAAACTTTTTTTTCTCAACATTTTTAATAGTTTCTCCTTAATATAGCAAAAAATAAAACCAAAGTGGTGATTAAATACCACCAAAAGAAAGCTCTATCTGTCCCCAAAAAAAGGTATAAAATTAATTTCAGTACAGCGTTGCATGACGGAATAAATGTCAGTCAAAGTACCACAGCGCTGAATACTGAAAAATGGCCTGGCCAGGATATTTTTTATGTGCTACACTTTTGTCATCCCACCTTACACTTTGAAAAATATATACCGTATTTTGCGGTCCATAAGACGCACCGGACCATAGGACGCAGGGAGGTCCGGCGCGCCTTATGGAGCTCTCGACAGACTGTAGCTCCTGTCACAGCTTCTATGAAAGAAGCTGTGACCGAAGCTGCAGTTAGTGACCGCTGAGACAGGTGACGCTGTGATTACAGCGCCACGGTCTCAGTGATCACACAGAGCAGACGAAGAACGTCCGTTCTTCGTCTGCTCTATGGTGATCTCGATTGTCGCTGCTGCTCGGTTTTAATATGAGTGATCTCATTAGACGAGCAGTGGCTCCTACTACTCGCCCGCCGCCCGAAACTGCATGTCTTGGGCGTCAGGATTCGCTCCATAAGACGCAGGCACATTTTCCCCCTCCTTTCGGGGGGGAAAAAGTGCATCTTATGGAGCAAAAAATACGGTATGTCACATTTGGCTGCATATTTATTGTGTTCTTTATTTTCTATTGATCTCTGGCCCTGTGTTCAGAAGTCTATAATAAAGTAAGGGATGAGTGTTGGTTTGGCTCATCCTCCAGCTGATGCAGCCACAGGTAATTTATTTAGTAGTGGAATCGCTAAATGATAACTTTCTACCAGCCAGAGATGTGAAAATTAGGCCCTTCTCCTCATTAACCAAGGAGGAGCTGCTTTGCCCTGTTTATAAGCGGTGCCCCAGTTTGCCCCCCCTCCACATGAAGGAATAAGGGCATAGTACCTCTAATGTAAATCCAATCTGAATCACATCTTCCAGTGATGACAATTCAACATCATGATGAGTGATGTCCAATTACCTAAAGACAGGATGGCCCACTGCCGCAACGTTCCTCTTCTGCAGCCACTCCCACCACCCAGATACCACCCACATAGCACTTTACACAAAGGTTTCTGTGGTGCTAACTGAACTGAGGCAATGTACATATTTTTTCTTATTCTCTGTTAGTACATTTTTAGTGCAAGTCATTTTCCTGGAAAGTGCAGAAGTTAGCTGATTCTTTGTATTAGGGATTAGCAGAAAGTATAGTGTGAGGAGATTGTGGGGTCTATTCACTAAGCTGCCGAGGGCAGCCGAGTGAATGACCGATCTGAAGTGAAGTGAGCCGAACACTGTTCGGCTATTCACTTCAGGCTGGTACACATGATTTCAGCTGTACATCGGCTGAAATCAGCCGTACATTGGCTGAAATCAGCCGTACATCAGCTTGCTTCGGGTCGGCCACACATGCTCAGCATGTTTGGCCGACGCGAAGTGCAGAAGGAGTTCGACTCAGCCGATCCAACATCTGGATCGGCTGAGCCGAACCTCCGGCAGGCTACTCACTGCTGTTCGGGCTATTCTTAAAGATGCCGAACAGTAGTGAGTGAATAGCCGAATGCCACTGGGCGGCATTCAGCTCGGCTGTTCTGCTCGGTCCCTCAGAGGTACCGAGCAGAACAGAAAAAGAGTTAAAAAAGGTAAAAAAAGTAAATAGAAAACGATTGTGCGGAGCTAGCAGTGACAGCTAGCTCCGCCCAATAGTTTCCTATGGGCACAATCTTAAATGGGCACAATCGTCTGCTGCTGTAAAAAATTCGTACAGCACCCCTTCGGTTCTACTGAACCGAAGGGGTCCTGGGGCCGAAGCTAGCCGAAGGTTAGGCCGAAGCTACTGCCAGATCCTTCGGCAGCTTCGTGAACAGACCCCTGTGTGTCTGGATGGGGTGTCATTGTCACAATATTCAGATCCCCGAAGAGGTTGATTTTCTGTTTATTATTGGCAGTCCGGAAGTAATTATACAAATCATGTCATTGTAATAAAAAAAGCAGACAAAACACAAACAAACAATACAAAGTCTACCAGGAATATTGGATATCTCTCCTTCTGGACATGGGACACACTCATAGCAGCATTCATGAACTGAAGAGCCAAACTTCTTTCTGGTTCCAGGTACACAGGGATCTGAGCACCGAGATACCGGGACCTGAAAATCAGATATTATTATTATTATTATTATTATTATTATGAAGAAGAAGAAGGATAGGTCTATCATATCCCATAAACTCAGGTTCAGGTTTATCTTATCATGGGTTTGAGACCCAGGAAAGGTTTATAAACCATAACTCACTGCATGACATTTGAACTAGCTGGCCATACACTAATAGATTTATTTCCTGTGGGCTAAACAAAAAAAAACTAGCAAAATTCTTCAACCATGCACAACAATGAGGATGATGAATCTATATCTGTGGCTATTGTATTCTGGCAGTCAGCACCTATCATTGTTCCAATACATGAATAGTAGCTGCAGCTGTTTGGCTGTGGGCACTACCTGGCTCCTTCAACAAAAGCTGATTAATCAAACTTTTTCTGAGCCTGCAGGGCCACCCACTATAAGAAATCCTGTGAATCTTCCTAAGTTCTAACAGTATATGATGGACTTTAGAAGGACCAGTAAGAGGACTTCAGAACAATCCAGCCCCCAAAATATAAAAGGGGGTTAGAGAACAGCCACTGTATGGGATGCAGATGTAGGGAAAGGATAGGAATAGCTGTTATTGTTACTTCAGGATAAGCCATCACTCTAAACATAGCAGGGGCATTAGAGAACAACCACTGTATTGGATGCTATTATAGATAAAGGATAGGAGAACCTGACAAACTACAAAGGGAGATATTTGGGACAGTTAGTGAACTGTACATTCATTCTAAAAGCTCTTTGAGCAATCAATCCCTTTGCTGTCTTTTTTTTCTCATTATAGATTTTTGTCTTTAATTTTATTACAAATATAATTTTGTTTGTATTTTGTGGTTATTTTCAGATCAGTGGTTACTTGTAGCTACTGTCCAATCAAAAGCTTTTGATTTGTTTGGCTGCAAGGCTTGCCTATAAATGAGGGGGGTGGTTTAAGTGTTGGTATATTATGTTCTAATATATTTCAGGGGTTTATTATTTTATGCTGGTAGAGCTGTTGATTTTAGGTGAACTGCTTTTTATTTTGCATCAAAGGCTTTCCTTAACCAGTTGACATCTGCGGTGTTAAACCCCCTTCCCATCCAGGCCATTTTTCAGTATTCAGCGCTGCGGTACTTTGACTGACATTTATTCCGTCATGCAACGCTGTACTGAAATGAATTTTATACCATTTTTTTGTGGACAGATAGAGCTTTCTTTTGGTGGTATTTAATCACCACTGGGGGGTTTATTTTTTACTATATTTTACAAAAAAAAACTGTTTCCCCTATATTAAATGATAACACATTTATTATTACCCAATTTTTTGGTAAAATATAAAAGACGGGGTCACGTCGGGTAAAAAGACACCAAACATGTCAAGCCTTAAAATTGCGTGCGTGCGCGACACCTCAAACAAGATAATACCCAAAATTGGCCATCAGTGTTATCAGTGATTGATGGCCCTAAAATTATTGCTCTCACTGCGGCGTTCGCGGCGATATGTAATGTGTGTAGCGCTGGTGCACCGGACGCATATTACGTGTATAACGTGGGGGTGGGGTAGTTAAACATTTTGGGTTTTTTTAACTTTTTTTATATGTGACTTTTATTTTTTTAATGTTTTTTATTTATATATATATATATTTTTTTTTTGCACTTATTGTTATTGCTATTATATGGGGGATAACAATCCCCCTATATAATAGCAAAGGCACACTGACAGGTCCTCTTTATGGAGACATTAGGGGTCTCTAGGACCCCTAATGTCATCTGTGGACCCCAAAAGAAGCTGATGAAGCAGAAATCAGCTTCTTTTATCTGGCCAGAGGACTGGGGGGTGAAAAAACGAGCTGAGCTATAGAGCCACGATCGTCTATATGTGAAACACCCGGTAACGGGTGTTTGCATTGCACGGGACTTCTCTGCCCGTGTGCGCCCGCAAGATATTGGAGTTCCGCTGGACTGTTTGCGCGTCTGTGGCTCTGCCGCATGATATTTGCTTGGGGTGACTAGAGTTGGTCCTGTCCCCCTTTAGCTAGGTCTCTTCATGATTCTTGATCCCTAGGTAAGTGGCTGTACAATGTAACCATAGTAAGAAGGAAATATGCATAGCTAAATAACAAATGGAAATATTGAAAATTGTAAAATATGAATCATTGATAAATTATGAAATTATGTATGATGGATGAACACTTTGATGAACAATGTATCATGTATTTACAACTAGATTTGTGCCGAAAATATACAACAACAAAAACCCCTGAGGAAGCCTATGAGCGAAACGCGTAGGGGATTAATGAAGCGGTACAACACTACATATGAAACTTAATGAATTATGATTATGTACAGTATGATATGAATTATGAATCATGTATGAATTATGTATGAAATGTGAAAATAAGGAATATGTTTAGGGACATAGGAATCATGTATATATATGAGCACTGTTTTTACCTTTTATGATTTTTTAAAATGAATTTCAATACATTTCTACGATTTTCTAATCATCTGAGTCCTCTATAAAAACCCCACCACAACCTGTGTTGTAAATGTGTATCCAAAGGCTTTATTTCAGAGGTGGTATTTTGGCATATACCAGTTAGGCCTATTATCTATGATTAAAACTGTCCTACTGTGGACCAAATTACCTCTACTGTATCCTCTGAATTGTATTCTGAAGCAACAGCCTGTATTTTTTTCTCTAGTGCATTTTGGCCTAGTCTTGTGATTTAAAATTGCCTGCTGGCCAATTTCACACTGCTGTGTCCTCTGTGGTCTCTTCATCCTTGTAGTAATACTCCTCCTTGTACTCTTTTTCTCCAGTACATTTTGACCAATTCTCCCTCAGTACAAATCTTCTACTGCTGGCCAGTTTTACACTCTATTATCATCTATGGTCTTGTAATTATTTATTATTTATATACGTCCGTACCAGCCTGAAGTGAATAGCCGAACAGTGTTCGGCTCACTTCACTTCTGATCGGTCATTCACTCGGCTGCCCTCGGCAGCTTTGTGAATAGACCCCTATGATGTCTAAAATTCACAAACTAAGGTAAGAAAAGGATAAGAAGTAGGAGGAAAGAGATACAGGAGATAGAAATAAGACAATATCCTAATACAGTTATATATAAATGAATGGAACCAACCTATTGCCATAGTGCAAATCAAGATGCAGATGACATAAGATCCAAATATTAAGCTAAGGTCTTACAACTGATCCAGCAGGCCCATGTTTTACAGAAAAGATTTCAAGTATCTCTAGAGTCATGCGTCAATTCTTCCATTAAATAGATCTGATCTATTTTCTAAAACTATAATTTGATAGAAGGAACTTTCAATTGTTTCCAGAAAAATAAAAGATTTAACTGCCATCAGTAAATGAGGTTCAGTGGGTTACTTGACATCGGCCTGCTGGTTTACTCGTATTTATACTTGTAATTATACAGAATGACCCATGGATAAAGAGCCACTGTGAAATAAAATCCAGTGGTCCAACGAGTCTGATTCACTGGATAAAATCACCATATACTGTATGAATGTAAGCACCTACATTTACACAGGTCCTCCAACATTGGGGAGACATCTCTGGAAATATTGATTGTAATATAATAGAAGTCTTGTGCAAGTCAGACAGACATTTCCTCAGTGTTACAAAATATACAAAACCCATGACAGATGAGAAATATTTTGTTTATTATTCTCAGACAACCAATGTCTGCTTCCCACTTTGACATAAATTGTGGATATGGAGAAGAGTTCATTTGTAAAGGAAAATTAGATAGCTGAGAGACACATTTGGTGGGGAGTGCAGGTGATGATAACAGGATTTCAAGAGGGTTAAATTCAGCAAAGGAACAAAGCAGCTTTGGAAGGGACTATATAAAATGGAAGAGTGAGTGTGTTTCATTTGTTCAGCTGCTGTTATTTGCTGGGGTCTGTCATAGCTGACAGAGGTTTTAAGATGGGACCTTGTACTACATGCTGTAGAAGAAGAGGTTTCTCAGGACAGGGTGGCAATTATGAAAGTAGGGATCCATGAGGCAATGTACAAAGTATAAAAGGGAGCAATAGGAGTAATGGTAAGTTACACAGCCAATTTTGTGCTTGAACATTGTGAAAGACAAAATCATTAGTGTGGAAGTATAAGGTAAAGGAGGAGAAAGAACCCAGAGCATTGTGTCAGGATCAGTAGTGCTTAGCTGGATTTCTATGTTTACCAATCTCTTAGGACTCTAGTGAGAACAGCAGCCTGGCAGTAACTATTAAAATGTGGGAGATAAAACACTCCATTGAGTTTGAGCTTATTCTATAGAAAGCAATCATTGCATTTGTTTAATTAGTTATTCATTTCTTGGTGAAATGTAAATATCTGTACAATTAAGTGAACCATGTTCAAACAGAAAACATAAAAGTAGAATTGTCCCGAGAGATAATGTACATTGCCAGCTGGGGACCTTAGGCATGCACACATGAAGTACACATGGCATATGTAGCATGCCCTGCCCCTTTCTTCCACCCCCCCTGCCAGCAATTAAAATGATGGCCCAGACTGACTGAGTAATACATCAGTAGCTGCAGTGGCTGCTGTCAAATATTGATCCTCTAAACAGTGTTGGTTATAACTTTTCAGAAGTATAATTCAGAAAAACAAGGTAACAATATTATATTGTTGATTGAACTTTGATCTCCCCATGATGTCAGACAAAGCAATTTTTCAGGTAAAAAATGCAGAAATGTAAAATTCACAGGAAGTATATTGGTGTGAGACATTAGTGTAGAATTTGCTAGCTATGCTTATGGAGCCTATACAATATGAATATGTACAATCAAATATATAATTCTGTGAGCAAAATGTGCCAAAAATGATTTCTCTCTACTCATTTCTTTTTCTTCTAGTAACTCTTTTAGGCTCAATGGCTTAATCCTTACTATTGATCCAAGTTTACATTATGGACCTACCTCATCACCAAACTTCCATGTTATGGCGTTAGTATTAATTTGAAGTTGCTGATCCTCTGGTGCCCAG